GAGAAGGACATCATGCTTGGGAGGGTGCAGGGACAGTGCAGGAGAAGAAGACCCCGGATGAGATGGATTGACACAGTATCTGGGGCAATGAGGGTAGGTGTGTCGGAGTCAGTGAGACTGGCTCAGGAGGACAGGGCAGGCTTCAGAGTTGTTGTACATAAGGTCACAGGCGATTTGATGGCACATAACAACAACAACAACAACAACATGGCACTCCCCCAGAGAGTGGTTGCTGAGCATTTGCTAGGATGTCTCTGGGTAAGGATTATTGCTGGATGCCATTAAATTCAGTATTTATAGCAGCCCTACGTACAACAGATCTAAACCCGCATCATCTTCTCAGTTGTCTCTGCTCATTGTTGCTTAAGCCCACTGCTGTAGTCACTGTGTCAGCCACCTTGTTGAGGGTCTTCCTCTCATTCACTGTCCTTTTACTTTTATAAGCAAGTCCAATGACTGGTCCCTCATGACGACATGCCCAGTGTGTGTGAAATGAAGTTTCCTGACCTCCAAGGGGAACTGTCAAGATTGTTACACTTCCTCCAAGATATAGTTGTTCCGTTGGCAGACCATGATCTATCTAATACTCTTCACCCACATACATCACAATTCAAAAGCATCAGCTCTTCTTTGTTCTTCTTTACACTTTACGAGGAATTCCTATGACCCAAAGGCCTGAGATGGGGACAAGGACACAGATGAACCCTGAGAAACATCAGCATGAAAACCAGGACTCATGTGGGGACTTGTCCAGAACAATGGGCTTAGACTGAAAATCAGTAAGGGCTTCCTAACAAGTGAGGAGGACGGCCAAGGATGGAAGAGGGTGCCTCCTAAGGGAATGAGCTCCTGACCATAGGAAGTATGTCAGCAGAGGCTGGGTGACTGCTTCTGGTGAATGCACAGAATGGATGCTGGTAGTACAGAGTGGGAGAGAGGGGAGAGGAAGGGCCAACAGAGGGAGGAGTGATGGAACAGGAGCAACATAAATCATGTCGTATTGGGAGAAATGTTCTATCCTTGGTCATGCTGAGGATATCAAGGGCATGTAGATCTGTCAGAATGAATGGAATAGAATAGCACATTTTATTGTATGTTTAGAGGAGTTTCCCTGGAGTGTGACCAACATCACCTTTCATCTCAGAAGAGATTAAGGAGAGAGAAGCGAGCACAGAGGAATGATCTGAGTATTGCCCCAAAACGAAGAGCCAAGATCTGAGCATTTCTGTCAGACCCAGGATTCCTGTGCTGAGAACCTCCAATACCCAGTGGAAGACTGAGGCTAAAGACACATGGAGGAAGACCTCCAAAGAACATGGGACCCTCCTATGTGGAAAAGAGACAAGCCCTCTCCCCAGAGCTGACAGAGAGAAAACACTCCCACCCACCCCCAGAGCTTGTGCCCTGAGTTCCAACTTTGACCTTCCTAAAAGGAGAGAACAAATTCCCGTTTTCTGTGGCATCTCTTTTATAGAAGCACTGGGTGTCCTAGTGGTAAGGTACCGTGCTGTAATCTCAAAGGTGTGCAGTTTGAATCCATCAGCTGCTCCATGGGAGAAGGATGGCCAGTCTCCTCTGAAAACTCACTGGAGGGTCAGCTATGAGTTGATTCCAACTTGACAGCACACAATTAGTAACAATAACAACAGTGCAGCCGACACGCTCCTCAGAGGCAAAGATGACAGAGCTTCATTGATCTCACAGACGTTGGGCCTGTTGCTAAGAGGGCCTGTTCCTCAGAGAGGGACATCATGCTTGGACAGGTGGGGAGTCAGTGAAGGAGAGGAAGACCTGCAATGAGATGGATTGACGCAGCGACTGCAGCAATGAGCTTGAGAATATCAGAGAAGGGAGGACGGCACAGGGTAGGGCAGTGTTCAGACCCGCTGTCCCTAGGGTCGCTATGAGCTGTATTCAATTTGATAGCACCTAACAACAACAACAACAACAACGACAGTTAAATAAGATATGGGGGAGCAGTAGGAACTATGTTCCAAGGGTTTCTGGGAGTTTAATGAGTTACACCAGTCAACTGCTGAGAGCACTGACTTTAGGGTTGGAAGTTAATAGAATAATAATTCCTAACCTTCCAGGGCTGCGTCCATCTGGCTGCTGCTCTGTGCTGCCTGACCTCACTCCTCGGCCAGCCATTGCTTGTCCACCCATCTCCAGGGTCATCTGAATGTTGGGGACATTCAGAGGGAGGGATTTTAGGGTATCTGTGCCACTACAAGTATGTTGTTGTTGATTGCCTTCGAGTTGAGCATGGCTTATTGTGACCCTATAAAGAAAAGGCCTGAAGTCCCTCTACAACTATTGACATTTATCAAAGTTCATAGAGTTTCTGGAGGCATGTTGTTTAGGAAGTGGATGCCACTCCTGCTTCTAAACTACAAATATAGACCTTATGTTTTCCAGGAATTACTTTCCAATCTTCTTTCTTTTATATCCACTCCCCACGGTAACACCAAGCCCAGAGTTAGGTATTCCAGCGGTGCGTAATTTTTGCCTGCAGCGTGAAGGAGGGAGTCAGATGGTTCTAAGTTGTGGGGAAGGTTTTGCTTGGGCTGTGCTAGACAAGTGGCTTTCTTGGGGTGGTGAGAGGTGAGATTTTAAGGCTGTTTTGTAAGACTGAGCAGACCTTGCACAGGTTAAAGAGACAAGACCCAAGGTGGGAATTAGGGTTAAAGTACAGCCGATTCACTGCTTTCCAAATCATGTGGTCACATTCATGGATTCATGTGGTCCCTTCTGTCTAAGGGACGTGCTTCTACTCCTTTTAATATGATTTATTTTGGTGTTGACTTAGATTTATTGGAAATTTGCAAAGATAATACAGAGAAGTCTCATTTATCTTCGACTCATTTATTTATTCTGTATGTAAATATTTTTGCATAACCACAGCATGTTTGTAAAAAAATAAGACATTAACTAAGAAATATGACATAGTTAACTAAACTTTGGCTTTTTTAGAGTTCACTGCTTTCTCCATAGGGAGCTCTGGTGGCCTAATGGCAAGCAACTGCCCTGCAATCCTGAAGGCATGCGGTTCAAATCCACCAGCTCCTCTGTGAAAGAAGGATGAGCAATCTCCTCTCACGTGATTAACTGCCACTGAAAACCCACTGGAGGGTCAGCTGTGAGTTGTGCCTAAAATCTTTTCCCATAATGTCCTTTTTTCTGTTCTAGGATCCAATCTAGGATCCCATGCTGGATGTAGTGTGCTGAGTGTTTGTTTGTTTTGTTTTTTAAAGTTATTTTTGTTGTTAGATTGACACAGAGACTGCTCTGTGGGCTGGGCTGTGTGTGGATTTCAGGGTGCACCAACGTGAAGTCTTGAGATGCCAAGTGAATTGCGCCAGGGTGTGGTACGGTACAGGGGGATCCCCTGGCCTTTCTTGTCTCAGGCCGGGTATCATGAAATCATGAAATACTTTGTCCTGTCTCATCTCTATTTGTGCAAAACACACAGAAGGAAAGAGATCAAAGTGTGTTGGTTTGCTTAATAATCGACTTATCGAGTATTAGAGCAAGCCCTTGGGGAAGTTGCATCTCTCTTCCTGCCAGAGTTCTTCCTGTGGGCCCTGTAGCTGGGGGTGGGTGCTCAAGCCAGGGAAGCTACGCTGGTAAACACATATGCCTTTCTGACATTGTGGTATCCTCAGGAGGTCCTGATGAAGCACCAGGTCACTGTGCAAACGTGGGGATCCCTGCTCTACCCTTCCCTACTATGGAAGAGTATCTGGCTGGCTTCTTTCTCAGCTTGTTCTGAGTGATCAAGACAGGGCCCCGTGGGTAGGGAGTGTGACTCCGCTCACCTCGTCCTGCCTGTTCCTGGTCAAATGGGGGAAGTACCTGGTGTGCAGAGAGAGGACAGTGAACAGGGTGGGCCAGGTGGATTTGGAGCTGCCTGGGGAGATCCAGGGCGGCTCTGAGACTCTGCAGAGACCATCTCTCCAGGGCTGCTCTGAGACTCCCCGAGACCAGCTCAGAGTTCAGGCTCCACCCCCACAAACAGCTGTGGGGCACCAGAAGAGCTGGTGAGCCCTCTGAAGCCTGAAACCTCAGTCTCTGCACCTGTAAGGTGGGACCACAGATCCTGGTTCCCTGAAAGCAGCGTTGGGAACCTCCCAGATCAGGGCCTGGCTGGTGGGGGCACTGCCTGGCACTATCCCTTCTGTTTCCCTTTCTCCACAGAGTCCTCCGATGGCGGCCATGCCTCCCCTTCCTGCCACATAGCCCGTGTATCACCCTCCCCCGGACACACACACACACACACACACACACACACACACACACACACAGACACAGACA